AGAGAGAGAGAGAGAGAGAGAGAGAGAGAGAGAGAGAGAGAGAAACAAAACTACACAACATAGATAAAAGGGAGCATTGGGGAACTGGGACAATACAATACCTCTTAAAGTCATATCAAGTGTTTATCAACAATGTCCATACAATCATTTTCAAAAAATGCATATCGACAAGCATGGTAGCACACACTATAAATCCAAGCACTTTGGAAGCAAATTCATATCTATGAGTTTGAGGTCATGCTGGTCTACATGGTCACTTCTGTAGTATAACCCAAATTTTAGATCTTAAAATAGACCTAAAATCTTAAAGAAAAAAAAAAGCGATTTTAAATCATCCCTGAATAAAAGCAGGAGAGCCCAGAGACAGAACCACCAACAAAAGAGCCAGCATGGGCTGAACCTAGGTCCCCTACACATATGTAGCAGATGTTCAGGGTCCTCCAACAACTGGAGCAGGAGCTGTCCCTGAATCTGATGCCTGCCTGTGGATCCCATTCACCTAACCGGGCTTCTTTGTCTGGCCTCATTGGGAGAGGATGTTCCTAATTCTTGTAGAGACTTGATGTGTCAGGGTGGGGTAATTGGGGCAGTGGTGGGGTAATACTCAAAGGAGGACTTTCCCTTCTCAAAGGAAAGAGAGGCATGAGGGAGGATCTGTATGAGGGGTACTGGGAAGGGTGGCTGGGCTGATATTGGGATATAAAGTGAATAAATGAATAAAATAAACTTAAAAATAAAAGCAGAAGGGCCTTTTAGTATTTAAGCTGAAAGATGAGGTATATAGCAAATGATTACAAAGTGGAATTTTTTTGCAGTTAGTAATTTAGTTAACTACCAGCCAGTTCTCAGAACATACCAGGAACAATGGAAAGAATTTACTATGTGTCCATCTTAAGAATATAGAGGAAGAACAAGTCAAAATGACAAGTTAAACTTTAACTTGGGATATTATTAGAGAAAATACAATAGCGAACAATGTAGAAATTAATCAAAATTTAACATTAGGTTTAATTAGGAAAAGGAAGGAAAAATGGAGTCAGCTGGCCCTTAACAAATACATTTCTGATTTGTTTTTTTGTTTGAGACAGGGTCTCATTAAAACTCCAGCTGATCTTGATTCACTAAGTACACTATAATATATAATACACATTAAATCTGCAATAAACAACAGTATTTATTTAATCCTGTGCCGTTGGACCATCATTCTTAGCAGGGCAGTCTTCTATAGAAGAGGGATCTGAGAATTCATTTGATATTGGTTTGTTTAGAAGTAAAGGAACGGGCTGGAGAGATGGCTCAGAGGTTAAGAACACTGATCACTCTTCCAGAGGTCCTGAGTTCAATTCCCAGCAACCACATGGTGGCTCACAACCATCTGTAATTGGATCCGATGTCACCTTCTGGTGTGTCTGAAGACAGCAACAATGTACTCATATAAATAAAATAATTAAATCTTAAAACCTATTTAAAAAAAAAAAAAGAAGTAAAGGAGCATGTTCTTGACAGGGTTGCGTCTTCCTGGAAGTTTAGACCTGTCAATCTTGGGATCACTTCTAACTTCAAAGACATGGGACTGATGTTAACTGCGTTAGAGCTAAAGTTAGAAAAAATTTCTTCCCTGTTTCCTAAAGTTGGAAGGAGAGATTTTTCTGTCTTCTGATCTTCAACGGACCACTTCTGTAGTTGCCTTTCTATTGCTGTCATAAAACACACCAAGACCCAGACAAATTATATTTGAAAACATCAAATTGAGCTTACAGTTCCAAAGGGTTAAGAGTTAATGATGCCTATATAAACATCTGGCAGCAGGAAGAGCTTACAGCTCACATTTTTGAACCTCAGACAAGAGTGAGCAAGCTCAATAGGCATGGTCAGAAGCTTTTAAAGCCTCAAAGTGCACCCGTGTGACACACTTCGTTCAAAATGGCCATACTCAGGCTCCTTCCCAAACTGTTCTACCAACTGAAAATTAAGTATTCAAACATATGACTCTGTGGGAGCCATTCTCAGTTAACCACCATATCTTTCTTCAATTCTTAGTGAAAAATACTTTTTAATCTACCACACTCTACGTATCCTTAAATGAGACTGTTATGTTTTCAACACACAATGCCACAGAATAAATAATTCTATTCCACAGAGAACCAGTGCATAGCAAAGAATGAACACACAAAAGCAAGACCAAAATCCAGCAGGAAAAACATAAAATCTGTAGATCTTTGTTCAGCTACTTGAGGTTATGAAGAAATTGCCAGGAATCCAAGACTTAGGTATGCCTACTCTTCCAGCTCTGTCAGCTGCAGCACACATAGTTTCTTTTAGGTCAACCTCACTACCTGCCTGCAGCTTTTCCCCAGTTCTAGGATCCCAAATATCTTGTGTATGGTATTCTATTTTATTTTATTGAAAGTGGGTTGGTGAGGGTGGAGAGATCATGCAGAGTTGTTAGAACCAGTTTCATTTGTAGCACTCACATGGCAGCTCCCATCCATCTGTAACTACACTTCCATAGAAACACAAATCTAAATAGTTGGGTATAAGCTGGTACCTGGCATTGACTTGGGTGATTACATAAATGATATAAAAATGTACTTCTGTCTAACAAGGAAACATGAGAAAGTTGTTTCAGTTGGTGTCCTCTGACAGTAAGCGATAGCATGTGAAGGGAGGAATGAAATGTATACTCTAGCTGATAGTTTCAGGGAAATACTCCATTATGGTAGGAAAGTTATGGGGACAGTATTGGGAATCTAGCTTGACAATTAGTCTGAGATTAGGAATCAGAGATCAAATAGAAACTTACAATGACTATAAGCCTTGAGTACTTGACAATAAACCATTCCTCAAAGGAGCCTCCATTTCCTAAAGGTTGCATGACTGCATAACAGCATCACCAGCTTGTGAGTCACTGTTCAAATTCATGAACTCTGGAGATTATTTCACATTCAAACCATAAGAACTAATTCTGTAGCCAAATATCAGTGACCATGACCTAGTCAAACAGATTAGATTAGTACGAAGTTCATTTTCTTTTTTTTTCTTTTTTTTAAAGATTTATTTATTTATTTATTATATATCAATACACTGTAGCTGTCTTCAGACACACCAGAAGAGGGCATCAGATCTCATTACAGATGGTTGTGAGCCACCATGTGGTTGCTGGGATTTGAACTCAGGACCTCTGGAAGTGCAGTCAGTGCTCTTAACCACTGAGCCATCTCTCCATACCCACGAAGTTCATTTTCTTGTATAATAACAGTATGTGTTTATTTTACATACAATAAAAG